TACGAATTTTACAGATTGTTTGCAGAAAAGATAAGGTAAAGAAACTTATCTAAACAATCTAAGATCACACACTATTATCCTTAACAAAGAGGAAAGATTTGCTGTAAGAATTAAAGATTTAGAAAAGTGTATTTCACTTGTTCAAAGTGGTTTTTTTTCTCTTTAGAGAGGGAGTAGAGAGAGAAGTAACTTATTGGGTAAGTTTCTTAGAGAGAAAGAGTGATAACTGAGTAGAGAACACTTAGCTTTTTGTACCCATTGCATTAAATGCAATTCAAAAGTTACACAACACGTGCCAAGCTTTTGGAGGAAAGCTTGTCCTTTGCTACAGTGAATAGTTCTTTTGGTTGTTCATGAGAAGACATCTTTTCATAGAGTTGGTGAGCACTATAGAGTCAACTGAGTGGGATTCGTACAATACTATACTCTTGGAAAAGGTATGGGTTTGTGTTGGTCCCTTGAGGGTCTACAAGAATAGTAAAACAGTTTGTAGAAGGGGGGAATGAATACAAACACAATATTTTCAAATTTAAAATATATATTGATAAAGAAGATCAATACATATTTTACAAGATTGTTTGCGGAAAGATAAGGTAATAAAAACCTATCTAAACAATCTTTGGTTACACACGAGTTCTTAGGAAACAAGAAAAGAAATGCTGTAAAGAGAAGATCCTTTACTTAAGCTAGAAAATGCTTGAAGTAAGAATTAGGTTTAGAGAGTGAGTTGTACGCACTCTGCATGGAGAAGAAACACTTCTATTTATACTCACATTTAATGCAATATGGTAGGGTTAGAGTACGTGTCAAGCCTTAAGAGGAAGGCTTGTCCTTTGCTACAGTGAATAGTACAAAAAACACTATTCATTAGCAGACATCCTTACCTAAAGTTGGTGGACAATAGAGTCGACTAGTCGGCTCCATACCGTACCAACTTTTATAAGGGTATGGGTTTGTCCTTTGTGTGCATAAGGACAAGACAACAACAGTCGTGCTAAGCAAGCTTCCTTTGATCGTTGAATGTTGGAATGACCTGAAGGTCTCTTCAGCATTCGCTGAGGCTTGAGCAGTCTTCACACATATGTAGACGGGCTTGTAATCACTGAGTACCTCTTCAGATCACGTACTCGTCGGTCTCTAATCTTCAGTTTCAGTCTTCGACATTTGCTGAAGGTTCTTTGGTGTAAGTGTTGTCTTCTTGAAGTATCGTTGTCTATGATTGATTTATAATACAAGTTCTTCAGCGATCACTGAACAGACTCAGTGAAGATCGTTGGAACTGAAAAGACAGAAACATGAATACAATGTATAAGTGAGAATGGATTATCATCAAACCACTGAGAGAAAGGATCAACAATTTCCCCCTATTTGATTATAGCAAGGCAACATAAAAAAAGTTGTTTTATCAAATAATAGTAAGGAAAAGTTACATATAAAGTACATGTCCCTTTTTACTATTTTGGGATCTTTTTCAGTGAATCAGTCTCAGCTTGAGAATTTTCATTAAGTTATATCTAAGAAAATTACAAGTACGAAAACTGAAATTGAAAGCTTATTCACTGACTTATAGATTGTCAGTGAATGTGAAAAGTAACACTGGAACTCATAGACTTGTGTCCCTATTACTTTTTTCAGGGATCTTTTTCAGTGAAGTACATGGAATACTCATTTTATTATCATTGGAAATATGTCTAGTGCTTACAGACTATAAGTATAATCACTTAAAGTAGACATAGTACAAGAAGTTACAAGGAAAAGTAGATTGTTGCTACAAAAAGAAAACTAATCTAGAACACTTAGATCTATGTAGCTAGGTACTTCTTCACCAAGGTTTCTTCGATGTAGGAATTCCCTTCGTATCTTCAGATCGATGACTTTTCCAGGCATGCTATCATCTATCCAGAGCAAGAGGTAAACCAAATGACCCATTGGACATAGATGTAGCTCTGACATTCTCTGAAATATGACTTCACCTTCATAGTTAAGAAATATAACTCCTAACTTAGGTTTAAAATGCATAGAGTTGGGTGTATAGGGACCCTTATCTGGCAAGTCAAGATTCAGCATAGAAATGTCTGTACTCTGGTGACCTTTCAGAATTTCATCTAAGGAGAACCTTGTTTCATGTTCGTTCCTTAGGAATGGTCCATCATTAGGATTAGAGAGCTTGAGTTTCTTCTTCCCACCTTTCTTTAGAGATGGCCTGTCAGGGACCTTGACATACCTGGACATCTTTTTGATGAGCTCGTTGATGGTGTCCTCTATAATTGTCTTGTGTCTCGACTTGGATCGTTGAATGGCTTGTCTGATTTCGATGTATCCATAACGGCCTAGGTAGAAAGGATACTCGGTAACGGCATCAAGATTGTCCCTGGTGATGAGCATTGAGACCAGTGTTCCACCATCTTTAGAACGTCTGCTGATGCTGACGCTGATAATCGGGCAGGGACTAATTCTGTTTTTCAGCTTTGCTTTGCTCCATCGCTTGTCCTTTTCCACCAGCTTTCAGGTTCTTCTCATGCTCAGCTTCTGCAATAGAAAGAAGTTTAGCCTGGGCTTGGATAGCGTTCACCTTTTTCTTGGACTTTTTCTTAGGGAGGACCTTCGCAACTAGTGACTTGGCCAGCTTCAAGCTGTCTTCAGTCTGCTTCTTTTGAAGCTCTAGCTCTTCTTTAGCCCTCAATGCTTCGAGTCTTTCAGCTTCAGAAAGGAAGTCGAACTCACCATCACTAGAGGTACGAAGAGGAATTTTTACTCTAGTCTGGTCAAGTGACTCCTTTAGCTGAGACATCTGCTGGTCGGTAGGAGCACTGGAGATGGGGTGATTAGGTACCCACTCCAGTCGACCGCAGGTTGTTGATGGGATATGAAGTTGATATTTTGAAGTAATCTCTACCTGAGAGGTAGAATCTTCAAATAAAGGTTGTTGAGGGAAATTGAACAATACCTTCAAGTTTCCTTCTTCAGTGAGCGCCTTGCCATTCGACTTGGGGTCCTGGTTCCCTGATGGAGTAGATTCACCTTGCCTTTGCTCCCCCCCCCTGAGAGCAACTCCCTTGGTGACGGTTGATGGCTTCTGGTACTTGATGGTAAAGTCGTTGTCGTCATCGTCATCGCCATCTAGATCACTTCCGTGGTCTTGAATGGTAGGTTCATCATCTTCATCATCATCATCACCAGCAGTAGTGATGGGAGGAGCGTCATCCATAGGGATGGCATTGACATCCTCAGCTGGAGCAGCTTTGGTGGTCGAGATTATAGGAGTAGCAACCACTTCAGCTCTAGGAGCCTCAGCTTCAGCTGCAATTGTAGCTGTAGCTGGTACTGGACCAACAGCCTAAGAAGGAGCAGAAGCAACATCGAATGATTCACCAACGTTGTACCTCATCTCCCCCTCTCTGGCTAATACTTGAGAGAATTGGCTAGAGAGTTCGTCCAAGCGCTGACACTGGAGAACCATTACCTCCTCTAGCCTTGACAAAGCACTGGCTAGAGATGTCGTTGCCTCACGCGTCTCATGGAGCTGGGTGCGATCACTGGCAGAGAAAGAAGGATCAAGGTTTGAGGTAAGGAGCGTTTTGCTTTAGCTTTAGCTTCATGGGATATAATGTCATCCTCAGAGTGAGGGATAGGTATAAGTTGCTCTATAGCTTCAACTTCAGATCACAGGATCAAGGTTTGAGGTAAGGAGCGTTTTGCTTCTTCTGCTTTAGACATTTCAACTTCAGCTTTAGGTTCAATAACAACAACATGTTGTTGGTCTTTCTCCCCTCTTTGTTATCAACAAGACTAGAGGTGAGATCATCAAGACGCTAGCAAGATCGTCCGTGCTTTGCTCGAGATTGGACAGAGTAGTAGACTGGAAAAGATTAAGCTTGAGCACCTGATCCATAGATTGGTGATCAACAACTGTGAAGGAAAGTTCAAGAACCGGTGCTGAGCATTGAATAAGGTTCAGTATCTGCTCCATCAGCTCATCATGCCTGGCAAGCTGGATTTACACTTCATCGGCCTTGCTATTTAAAGCAATGATGGCCTCAGTGTTGGTGCAGACATCAACTTGCACCACATACAACAATTTCCTCATCTCACTAACCTCAGCTTTGACAACAGAGAGCCGTTACTCAAACCGGGGACGGGGATCCCCAGCAGACTCAAACCGGGGCCAAGAGACGTTACTCAAACCGGGGCCAAGAGTCGTTACTCAAACCGGGGTTGGGGCCAGGGATCCCCGTAAACTAACGGATATTCTTCATAGAGTTTGATTGTGACAAGATGTTAATCCCCATACCCGCCGGGGATCGGGGGTTGTTACTAAAAACCGGGGTCGGAGATTACAAAACCCACCCATCCCGCCCCATTGCCATGCCTACAAACTAGTATAAAAATATAAAAAATAAATAGTTTTTGCCAAAAAGATAAAAGATAAATAGTTTTTGCTAACAAATCTCTTTCAGCCTCCAAAATATGAACCATTTGATAGAGGGCGGATTAAGATTAAGATGTATTAATGGATACATTACCACTTAAAAATTTAGAGATTTTAAGCTCTCTTATTTTAGAAATAAAATAAACGTTCTAAATACTCAAACGTTTAAACTAATCAGACTTCAGAGATATTAAAAAGTAATTTTGAAAAAACAAATAGACCCTTAGTCTTTTATACTTAAAAGTAGTGTTATGATGTCAGAGATGAAAAAAAAAATTAATTGCAAATCATAGAATGAAAAAACGAAATTTTGAAATCGCATGAACTAAATTTGCAATATTTAGCAAACCACAAGGGACAAAAAAGGCAATTTACTCTTATTTATTCAACCCTAAAAAAATGGCAGATTGCCAACACTTTAGTGCATGTTTTGATTCGCTGAAACACAAAGTGGCAGATTGCCAACGTGTCGATCTTTACCACCGTCGATCAACAACACGATCTTTCATCAACCAAACTCGCTGAAACACCATGGACTACATATACTCTTGTTTCCCACCTTCGAAATTTCAAATTAACAACAATCTCAATTCTCAATCAAACAGAGGGCAAATCTCAATACAATGGAATCTGGAAAGACAAGCAAGGGTGCCGGAGGGAGGAAAGGCGCCGGCGAGAGGAAGAAGTCGGTGACCAAGTCCATCAAAGCTGGCCTCCAGTTCCCTGTCGGTAGGATCGCTAGGTTTTTAAAGAAAGGCCGATATGCTCAACGTACTGGCTCCGGTGCTCCGATCTATCTTGCTGCCGTCCTTGAATACCTCGCCGCCGAGGTATATTCATCAAATCTCTGTGTTAATTTTTGAACCTATTGAACAACTCAGATTGATTTTGGTGCTACATTTGAACATATCGAACAACTTAGATTGATTTTGGTGCTACTTTTGAACCTATCGAACATCATAGATTGATTTTTGTTCTACTTTTTGAACCTATCAAACATCTTTAATTGTTTTTTGTGCTACTTTTGAACCTATCGAACATCCCTGATTGATTTTTGTGCTACATTTTGAACCTATCGAACATCTCAGATTGATTTTTGTACTACTGGGAAATGAAATTTTAGGTTTTGGAATTGGCTGGAAATGCTGCCCGAGATAACAAGAAGACGCGGATTAACCCTAGGCATGTTCAATTGGCTGTGAGGAACGATGAAGAATTAGGAAAATTGTTGGCTGGTGTTACGATTGCCAGCGGAGGTGTTCTGCCCAATATCAATCCGGTGTTATTGCCGAAGAAATCGTCATCTGAGACTGAGAAAACTACAAAATCTCCTAAGAAGGCGTAAGATCTATCTTGACCTAGATTCGGTTTAGGATGAGGGTTTTTGTATGAACATAGTTTGGTAGTTAAAGCTTCATGTTATTTTGAACCTTACCAACGAATGAATTACATGTGTTTATTCTCATTTATGTTATATTGTTTATCCCTCTTGTCGTTGTTTCTGTTATTGCTGTCAATGACAAGATGTTCTGCATAATAAATCTTCTTTCTTGACATTGGTATCAAAATTATCGCTTCATATGGGTTGGGTTGGGTTGGGTTGGGTTGGATTGCTTGAAGGTATTTGAATGATTTAGCTTAATGTTTGTTGTTTGAAAAATCTTAATTCAATTAAAGTTAAATTATAACCCAACCCAATCCAACCCAAATATGTCATTTGAGTTGGTTAGATTGAAACTTTATATATTCATTTGTGATCTACCAAAGTGTTTATGTTTAAATGAAATAAAATCAAAATAAATATATAAAAAAAAGCTAATAAATTCAAGAAAGAAAGTTGAAGGCTCAAGTAGAAAAGAAAGCAAAATTGCAGTTGAATTTGTAATATAATTTTGAATATAGTTAATTATGGGTTAATTTGATGTAAAGATTAAATCAATAAATTCTTCGTATATAAAGACATTAATTGTCACAAGTAGGGCTGTAAACGAACCGAACGAACACGAACGGAGGCTTGTTCATGTTCGTTCGTTTAACTTAACCGAACAAACGAACGAACACGAACGGTAAACGAACGAAAATCTTTGTGTTCGTGTTCGTTCGTTTAGAAATAAGGTGTGTTCGTGTTCGTTTATGTTCGTTCGTTAACATGCTAAACGAACGTAAACGAACGAACATAAACGAACGGCCTAAACGAACATAAACGAACGGGCTAAACGAACGTAAACGAACATAAATAAATATTATTTGAATTCTAAGTAATTAAATAAAAGATTGTATATTAAATTTAATATATAAACGAACATAAACGAACGAACGTAAACGAACATAAACGAACGAAC